TCACAGAGGGGCAAGCTGGGGGATGGAGTCAGTGGGATTTGACCTGAGTTTTGCTAAAAGTCAGGGAAACCAAAAGGCAATAGTGAGGAGCCAGAGCATTCCAGCATGAAGGACAGCCAGGGCAAAGGCTTGGAGCTGGGAAAAGGAAGTGTCTTGTTCAAGGAATTGCAAGTAGGACAGTGCTGCTGAAATGTAGAGTCATGGAAGAGAATTAAATGTGACGAGATTGGAAAGGTGGGAAAGGACTAGGTTATGAAGAGCTTTAAATGACAAAGGATTTTGGGGGGGGGAAGGATTTAAGTGAAAAGGATATTTGATACTAGAGGTAATAGGGAATCATCACTGAGACGTATGTGTGTGTGTCAGACTTACCCTCTGTATTTGAGAGGAGGACAGACTGGTATGGAGGGAGACTTGAGACAGGAAACCAATCAGAAGGCTACTGCAATAGCACAGGCATTAGGTGAGGAGGCAGTAGTAGACAAGAAGCAGTCAGACAAGTTGAAGAACCAGGAGATAGCAGTGTCACAAAACTCAAAGAAGAGAAAGCATGTCTAAGAGAGTGGTCAACAGTGTCATGTGGTAGATATGTCAAGAAAGATGAAAACTGAGAAAGGCCAACTGATTTAGCAATAAGGAGCCATCAGTAACTGAAAAGAGCAATATCTGTTGAATGATAAAGTGAGAAAACCAAATTATGATGAAGACATGTACCACAGTAATGGCTGTGTAAGTGCAAAGGTCATGCACAAAAGATGTAGTGAAGGAAAAAACGACAAGATTTGGCAATGGATTGCATACATGGGCTGAGTAAGAATCATGGGTAGAAGATAACACCGGGGTTACAAGTCTGAGTGACTGAGAGGATGATGGTGCCCTTGACAATAGACAAAGAAGCTGGAAAGAAGGGAGGGCTTTGGGGAAAAGATAACAGTGTCTGTTCTGAGTATGTTGAATTTGAGATGCCTATGGGATATCCAGTTTCAGAACAAACCCAATATACTGGCTGAGGGCAGGGAAGGGGTGCCACGGAGCTTAAGAAAAGATCAGGTTTGGAACAGATCCTGTGGGAAATGAGATAGTAAATTGATTAGCAAAGAACAGAGGGTTTGGCTTGCAACAGTGAGGGCCCACTTGACATTAGAAAACAAATTTGCAGAGGATTCAATTGGTGTAGTATTTTGGTTTCCTCCAGTTCCAGTGAGCTTGAGGCCACTGGACCTCTCCTGACCACAATGTTATTTTGACTCCAGTCTCTCTCCTCAGATATAAAAACAAAAAAATTTACAAGGATAAAAACATAGATCAAATATTTAATGATCTGTCTACCAGGGGCCTTTTCAATGTTCTCCTCTGGTCATAACAGAACTGTTAAAACAAAATACTAAATATCTGTCCTGTTCTATAAAGGGAAGAAGGAATTTTTTCCCCCTACTATTCGTGCTCTAGTTAGCACTTTCCAATTAGGTACTACCTAAGTATGCTGTGCTCAGCACAATACTCCAAAACTCTGATATGCATCATATAATTCAAAGCTTTTAAGTCTCAATATTTACTAAGCACTTACTCTACGGGAATTTGTAAGTGGGAGCCAGGAGGATCTAGAGATGGAACACAGTCCTAATTTTAAGGCATATCAGAAGTGAGGACACTTGTGGAAAATGAATATAAAAGCATATACAGGAGTGCAAGAGGTCAGGTCTAGAGATCTCATGTTCTCCCTTTTCCCTTTAAACCCAAGGTCAAGGGCACTCATCTACTGTCACCTCTTTAGTCATTTGACAAGACACCTTTGCTGGTAACACACTATCTTCCTCCTCCTTCTCCATCTTATACCTCAGGCTATCCCAGCCCTCCTAGGTAACAATTGATCTGATATGGTCATTTTACTAATGATATAACAGAAAAAGGTTATAGGAGCTCCTTAAAGGCCCCTCCCTTTCCAGTTCCTTAACCACACATTAATTATAAGAAAGGCCTACTAGAGACAACTACTACTTGGGTCTACTGTATTACAGTTATCCCTTCAACATCTCAGGGGTTAGAGGATTGGTGCCCCCTCAATCTGGAAAATCTAAGTAAAATATTTTGGCCCCCCCTTCACACCAGAGAAGAAGTCTGAATTATTATGGTATTAAAAGATAAAATATGTTGATGTTATACAATATCATACACATATTTTATGCATTTCTGAGTCTCTAAACTTTTTTTGTATCATCTGCTGGCCTTCATGTGTCATCTGTAGCTTCCACAAAATTCCCAAAATATTCCCATTTAATTTCTTATGCCGACCCACAATATATGGAAACTGCTATAGGGAAAGTTGCAATGTGGAAGGGATAACTGTAATTTGTAAAAATAAAATAAAAAGTGTACAATTTATTACAAGCAAAGCTGCAGTGAAATCTCTCCAGAATCAATTTTAAAATCCTCTCACACACGCTAGAATGTGGATTTTCATGATGTTATTTTCTATTACTCTAAGGAGTTCTTCCTCATAAAAGGATGCTGACCATTTGCTATGGGATCTCTTTGAGCTGGAAAGAAGTTATTCCAGGTCTAAAATGGCCATTTATGAATTGTTAACCTACTTTGACTACATTCAAATACTAAAGTCCAAAGTAGAAGAAGCTAGATTGTACAGTACAGTGGCACCAGAAAGACCCAAATTCAAATGTTACCTCTGACACTTAGCTGTGTGACCCTGGGCAAGTGAGTTGGCCAGTCTGCCTCAGTTTCCTCAACTGCAAAATAAGCATTATAATAGCACCTACCCCCCAGAGTCATTGTAAAGATCAAATTAGATCATATTTGTAAGGTTCTTCAAAAACTTAAATGCACTACATAAATACTAGCTTATTTATTGTTATTATTGTTATCAAACACTTAAGTGCCTAGTATACATCAGGTGCTGTGCCATGTGCAAGGGATACAAAAAGATAGGCAGTCCCTGCCCCGAAATAGAATATAATCTCCTATTAGGGGGAAACAACACATTTATTGATGAGTAAACACAAGAAAAACATACATTGATGGGTGATACAGCAACTATGAGGAGAAATTAGCAAAAACAACTTGAGGAAAGGGTTCTAGAGCTAAACTTTGAAGAGAGCTAGAGGTTCTAAGAAAGGGAATTAAGGAGGGAGTGCATAGCATGGAGGTGGAAGATGGAATGTTGTACACCAGGAACATCAAATAGGTCAATTTAGCTGCACTGTAGCATGCATTCGAGGGAGTAATGTGTCAGTTTGGAAAGACAGGCTGGAGACAAAATGTGAAAGGCTTAAATGTGAAACAAGTTCACTCTAAAAAAAAAAACGGGCAGCCACTTCTTGAAGCTGCTTGAGCAGAAGAAAGACATAATCAGAGTACTTCAAGAATACCAATTTAGCAGCTATGTGGAGAATGGATTGGACAGAGAAGAGACTGGATACAGGAAGACCAGTTAGAAAGTTATTCCCATAATCCAGTGGCGAGATGATGAGAGTTTGGCCTAAGGTGCTTGGGATCTGAGTAGAAAGAAGGGGATGGATGTAAGAGTACTTGGGGAGGTAGGATGTGGAAAAAATGTGCAACTGAATGTGTATGGAAGGCCAGAAAAACAGTAGTGACCTGGACATAAATGGTGAAGTTAGGAGGAGGTATGGGTTTAGGAAAAAAATAATGAATTCCAGTATTCGGTTATTTGTCATATACAAGTAGGAAGTACTGGAATTTAAGTACAACCATACCATTTGTTTTCATGTATTTTATTCCATTTATTCAAATGTCCTATAAGTTAAAAAGCAAGTGCCCCTAAACAGAATTTCATACAGTAAATGCCTGCTAAAACAACATTAACTTACATGGTGAGAACGGTTCTGTTCCTACTAGACACTCTACACGTCAAGACCTCTGACCAGATTTAATGATATGAGCAAAGTGAGGCTTCTCGTTTGCAATGTGTGAAAAGAAGATCTACAATTACCTGAGTTAAAATCACTACATGAATCCACAGAACAAGCAGATTCCAAGGACCATGTAAGTGGCACTATACATGTTACACATCTGAAAGCAACAGTAAAGTTAATGTGTTTTAAAACAAGGATTTTAACGGGAATTGAACCACGGATTTCATTTATTATTATAAACAGTAACTCGTTTTTAAGAGTATGTGATTTAAAAGCTATGATAAATTAGCCAATGTTTTCGGGTGTAAGGTTAGCACATGGCAGACAGAGGATGGGCCCCTTCCCTTTTTTCAGTGCTTCCCTACCACACCTAAAAAGCACCCTCCCTATCCCCAAAGCCTTCAGTTTGAGACCTGAAATGCTAGAAATGCATGCACTTCAAACAAACTCCACCGAAAATAGGAAAAGCCTTCTCAACTCAGTTACTACAGATTACCAGAAAGCTGAAGTTAACCCATTCTCCACCAGCTTTAGAACAATCAACAACTACCCAGCCTAGCCCGGGGTCCGTCAGGTGCAGAGGGTGTATGGTGGAGGCCCTGTTCTCCAGGGCAGAGGGAAGCAAACTCTCCAGGGGGATAGAAGGAACACACGAACACACACACACACGCACGCAAAAACACACACACACGCAAGCAAACACACACACACACACACACACACACGCCTTGCTGGAAATCATCCCCTACCAGGCTCCCCGAATCCGCACGGACCCAACACAATCCCTCCCTCTACTCCCGATCCCGATCCCAGGTGGATCGCAACTTCTGGCCTTGGCACCTGCGTCGGCACCTGCTCCCGAGCCGCACCTGCCCCTCCTCCAGGACCCGAACCTGGAAAGCCAAGGAGGGTGCCCCAGCCCAGCTTTCCTCCCGCCGAGGGGCGGCCGAAGCCGTGCGCCAGGCGCAAGAGCAGCAGGAGCAGCACAGCCAGCGGGCTGGGCTCACCCCTGTCTTCCTGCCCACCCAGCCACCCTTCCCCTCTGGCCCCGGGGAGCGGAGCAGAGCAGCAGCCACGGCAAGGGCCGGAGGGCAGCCGTCGCCTGCTCACCTGGCTCCCCGCTGTCCATGTTCGCTCGCAGCTCCCTGCTTCCTGGGGTGGCCAGCGCCTGAGTGGGCGCGGAACGGCTGGATTCGTACTGCTGCCGCCTGGGCTGGAGCTGGGGCTGGGGCGGGGGTCACCGACAGAGCTCCCGCCGCCGCCGCCGCCGCCTCCGGAACGTCCCCACCCACTCCTTCTCGGGAGGCCCGCACCTCCTGGAGAGCGCCTTCCCGGGGCGTCACCCAACCACCTGACCCGGCAGACCTGGGCACTGCGCTGCGATCCGCCCTGCACAGTCAGCGGCGGCGGCAGCAGTGAGCTCGAGCTCGCAGTCGCCCGGGAGGGTCTGGGCCTTGGGGCGGGGACGGATGCGGACTGGAGGGAGAGTTATCTTCTGGAAGGAGGAGGAGGCATGGGATAGAAGAAGTGACAGCAGCTGCTGGGGGGGAGGGGAGCAGAAGCGAACCATAAAGGCGGAAACCACGGGATGCTCCTGGGGGAGGGGAGAAGGGCGACGTGTGCATACTATTTATCAAGTTCCTTTTTTTTTTAAGCCATAGATTTTTACTTGATATTTGTGGAGCCTTCTTCTGGTCTCACTGGCACCTGCTCATGGCTGGTGTAAAAATAATAATAAATAGCATTTGTAGAGAGCTTTATGGTTTGCAAAGCACACATATATAATATATATATATCTTATATATATAATATATATGATATAGATATCATATATATCATATATATATACATATATATATATTAAATGTACCTCATTTGAGCCTAAGAACAACCCAGCTAGGTAGTCGCTATTATAATTCCCATTTTACAGACAAGAAAATGGGCTTAGAAAGGTTTAATGACTTTCCCAAGTTCATATAACTAATAAGTAACTGAGGCAGGATTTTAACTCGGGTCTTCCTTATTTTAGGTACAACACTATCCACTTGGTCACAACAGGAAGGTTATTTTGAAGATTTATTTTGAAATGGCTTTGCATTATTGTTATTTTTATTATCATCCTCTTCCTCATCATCATCATCAAAGTAGAGATAGGGATAGGAAGTGGAACTGTGATTTTATCACAGAGTAAGCACCTAAAAATGTGTATTGATTCATTGATTTTTACAAATGCACTGCTATGATCAACATCTGCCTATGTATGATTAATGCCAAAGAGTTACAAAGTTTAAAATGTACTCTGTTATTTGCATTTAAAAAATGCATAGAAAAATGTTGCTTCTATAGTGATTATACACTAATATAGTAACTAGTTAACACATTAACTAGTTAATACACTAAGTAACTAATATAAGTTGTAAGTGAAATATAAGCATCTTTCATTAGGACACGGAAAAAAAATCAGACCGATTTTTTGATAGCTAAATATAGATTTTTTAGGTGATAAATGTGAAAGATACCCATTTGGGAATTGTTTAATTGAGAATAGCCAGTATTAAGGGTAATTATTTTGTGGCTGAAAGTAATCTAATACATGTAATTAACTAAAGAATTAAACATGGAGATCTTTTAAAATTTGCTATTTTAAAAAAATGCTCAGAAAGCAAAGAGCTGAAAACAAAGTAGATACACATCCTTCTGGGAATGGCTAAACAAATTCATGTGATACATGAAGAAAATGGAATATTACTACACTCTAAAAAGGAATAAAAAGAATCTAGGGGGGCATTGGAAAACTTATATGAGCTGATACAAAGTGAAATAAACAGAACCAGAAAAACAATATAGACAATAACAATAAAACAGAATCCTGTGTAATTATAACCAAGCTTGACTGCAAAGAAGAAATAGGAAAATACACCTACCTCCCTTCTTTGAAGAAGAAAAGGACTGTGAGGATTGAACCTAGCATATACTGTTGGACTTGATTGACATATTGGTTTGGTTTGCTGAACACATTTTTTTTCTTTATTATTTGTTACATGGGATGACTTTTGAGGGAGTGAAGGGGAGAGATATGTTGGGAAATGAATATAAAAACAAAAGGTACAACTGAACAATGTTAACTGCCCCCAAATTCCCCAACTATGGCTGTTATCTTTGTTATTTATCATTTTTGCATTTTCAAAGTATTTTATAATAATTAGTCCACCCTGTGCCATTCTCAGCTCCCTAAATCTTTAAATTCTATATTTTTATTTATTTGATTAAATATTCCCCAATTACATGTAAAAAATTAACATTCTTTTTAAAATTTTGATTTCCAAATTCTCTTCCTCCCATCCAGCCCTCTCCTACCCACTGAGAAGGCAAGCAATATGACATCAATACACATAAAAAAGTCATGCAAAGCATATTTCCATATGAACCATTCAACTCCTTAAACCTTGATAATGATCTCTTTTATAGGAGAAAGCTGCATTAGAGATTCATCCAGTAAGTCTTGCTTAATAACTATAAATATAATGTACCTGTAATCCTCATCCTTCTTAGTCCTTATCCTTCCTGATCTCTCTACAACCTTTGATGCTATCAAATACTGTCTTCTTGATACTCTCTCTTTTCTCCATTTTCATGACACTGCTCTCTTCTGTTTTTCCTCCTACCTATCTGAATGCTCCTCAATCTCCTTTGCTGGATCCTCATCCAGATCACACTTATTAATGGTGGGTGAACCCCAAGGCTGTGTCCTCTGTCCTCTGCCCTCTACGTTATCTCTCTGGATGATCTCATCAACTCCCATGGATTCAATTATCATCTCTATGCAGATAATTCTCAGACTTGTTTATTTAGCCCTAACCTCTCTCCTGATCTCAAATCTCTCATCTCCTATTGCCTACTGGACATCTCAAACTGGATGTCCTTGGGCTGTCCTAAACTCCATGTGTCCAAAACAGAACTCACTAGCTATCTCACTACCCTCTTATAAACTTCCCTCTTGCCCCACTGAGAGCGTCATTATCCTCTAAATTACCTAAGTTCATAAACTAGGTGTCATCCTCAACTCTTCACTTGCGCTCACCCCATATATCCAATCTGTTGCCCAGTTCTGTCAGTTCTAATTTCGTGATATCTTGTTTATGCCAGTCTCGTTCCTGGACTATTGCAATAGCCTTCTGGTTGCTCTCCTTGTCTCAAGTGTGTCCCCACCCCAGTCTACCCTCTACTTAGCTGCCAAAGTGATCTTCCTAAAACACAGGTCTGATCATGTCACTCCCCTACTTACTCAGTAAATTCCAATGGCTCCCTACTGCCTCCAGGATCAAAAATTAGAATCCTACATTTGGTTTTTAAAGTTGTTCTCAACTTGAGCCCTTCCTAATCTTTCCAGTCTTCTTACGCTTGTGATTCAGGACATGTTCTGTGATTCAGGACACTGGCCTTCTTGTTCTTCAAATATGACATTTCATCTCTTGACTCTGGGCTTTTTATTGGTTATCTATATCACTGAAATATTCTTCTTCCTTGTCTCTGCTACCTAGTTCCCTTGGTTTCCTTCAAGACTCAGCTATAATCTTACCTTCTACAGGAAGCCTTTCCTGGTCTGGGGCAAACCACTCCCTTCCCCCCTTCCCAACTCCCAGTGCTGTTTCTCTGAGATTACTTCCAGTTTACCCCATGTACATCTCGTATGTACATAGTTGATGGTACATTTCTCATCCATTAGAATGTGAGAACAGAGATTGTTTTTGCCTTTTTTTGTATCCCCAGAACTTAGCACAGTGCCTGGCATATAGTAAATGCTTAATTAGTACTTGTTCAGTTGATTTTTTTACTATATCAAACCCATAACCTAAGATTCCAGGTCCTGTTTTCCAGATAAGTATCACATAAACTAGGCTCAATAGATTTTCCTCAATAAATACTTCTTGAAAACATTTGACCACCCCCTCATTCAGGATACTCTTTACTCTCTGAATTTTCCTGACACTGCTTCTTCCTCATTTTGCTACTTGCCTTCTCTTTCTTGTCTCCTCAATAGATCGTCATTCATTTCTTACCCACTGTGGCTTAATGTCGCCCAATATCTATCCTGGGCTCTCTTTTATTGTCCTTCTGCACTCTACATACTCTCAGTGATCTTATCAGCTCCTGGGGGATCTATTATGATTACCTATATGCAGATGATTTCCAGATCTATATGTCTGTCTCTAGTATCTCTTCTGAATTCCAGTTCCACATTACAAATTACCTTTTAGCAACCAACTACAAGTTTGCCTTTCAGAGAGTACATTTACATAATGTCACCATGCTCTAAAATCTTTTTGGCATGTTCCAATACAAATGGATGGGTTCATGAAATGCCTAGACTCAGCAATTATTATTAGCTTAATCATGTTAGTGATATAGATAGAACATTATGTTCACACAGAGGAGAAAAACACCCTGTATCTAACATGTTAGCATGGAAGTTTTCTGTTTATCCTTTCCTTTCATTTACCACATTTTGAGGGTCAACAAACAGAATATTTGCAACATAACTACGAATCATATGATGTTACATGTCCTAAAATAAATAAGGTTTTATATTTTAACACACAGAGGGATCTTGGAAGAGTTGCTAATATTTAGACAACATGCCTGGATGCACTTAGCTGACCCATCATTTAAAAAACGCCTTGCTGGGATAGACTCTTGACATGAATTTATCTATCTTATAATTACATAGTGCTGACTGGAGTTACAATGTCTTGTCTCTTTGGAAGCTTCTTTTTTTTTTTTCCCTAAATTTCCTTCCATAACCAGACCCTTATAAGAAAGGATCTCTTGATGACATGAGATACACAAAGTTATTTAATACATTGGAAATGCAATTGGAAAATTATAGCACTAAGGCCTCTTCTGCTTTCCCTTAAGTTTTTATTTGCTAGCAGCCTGCAGAAATTGAACAAAACGAGATGATAAACCTCTTAGACTAGCCAAAAATAACAATCATTGCAATATATTACAATTTTGCAAAAACAAAGCAACAAACACCACAAAACAACTTATGAGCAAACAGTATAGGAGTCCAAGAAATTTGATTTAATTTAATTATTTGAGAAATTAAGCTGTTTTCTGCTTCTGTGTACACCAGAGCTACTTTCTTACATTCTTTTAACAGGCCATATAGAATTGTGGGAAGAATGTGGTACTGTATTTGGAGTCAGTAGACTGCCATTTACTAGCTATGTGACCTTGGGGAAGTCACTGAACCCCTGAGCCCCAGGTCCTTCATCTATAAAAATAAGGAATTAGAATAGGTGCTCTCTCAGGTCCCCTTCCAACTCTAAATCCTCAGATGTAACAAGACAGGAATGATTAAAAACAAAATAGGTGGTGTTCATTTCAATGAATCTATGGCCTAACTGGTGTAGAAT